AACATAGCTCAATATGACTACGGCAAAAACACTAAAACGATTACGAGTACCACAGCTAATAATATATAATAAAAATTTTATAATCTAAATTTTATTAAAACTTACCGTCAAGTAAAAGCAAATCTGGTCTGTAAAAGTTGACAATATCAGTAAAGTCATGTAAAAAACAACAACAATAAAAACAACAACAAAAACAAAAACAACAAATCAGCATTTCATTAATGCCACATTTCGCTAAATACTTTTTAAAGGTATAAATTTTTAACGCAGCTACAAAAGGAGATAATTAACATGCGTTGTATGTTTACAGTCACAGAACAACGAAATTTCAATATCATTACTTGAGTATGAAAGGAAGCTAGGACTTGCAGAGTTACTGTACTTACTTTGTAAATAAAGCTCTTGCGAGAGCAATTCTCATTCGCCATCCTCCTGAAAACTCTCTAAAAGAACAAATTACACAAGCGTGTTATTATCACTGCAAGTACAACAAAGGRTTCATTATATTTTGAAAAGACGTCATTTACTCTATCCTTTTGTTCTTCCATCTTTTGAATGAAAATCTCTCTGATGAGGGATAATTCCAAAACAAATGTTTTCCCCCAATTGTTTTTAATAAAGTATAAATGAATCATATATTTGTATTGCTATAAGCTTGAAGTTTTGAAATAAGGGCATTTTCATGCAAGTAGCATTTTAAGACAGTCATGCGTGGATTTTATAACACACCAAAATCACTCACATCGTTTTCTTTGTCTGCATGGACGGCGTGAATCCCAAACCARCGAGAATCATAGACGCYCTGTGAGAAAAACATTGCAGACATTCAAGAWAATGGTTTAGGAAATAGCCAACTTASACCCGAACAATAGTTAGCTAAAATGCAGTTATACTATATATTCTGCCCAAGATAAATATTCGAACTCCAGCCAGACCAGCCCTGCTGTTCTTAGCGTAGTTAGGGAGATTTTGTTTGGTTTGAGGAATGAAGGCGCACAAGTTAGTCAGAGAGTTTGCTAAAGAATGATATTTGCATTGGAATTGTGACCGAACTGCAAATTAAAAGATATTTTCTGTAATTTTCGAAAATATGTTCTGTAATTTTCGAAAATATGTCAATTCAAACGGTCAAACGATTGGTGTTTTTGCTTCAATAACGTCCACACCAAACTCAACCTAACTGTTTAGCAACTCCTTCCTTAAAGCAAAACGAAATGTAAATTAATATTCAGAGCTGATTCGGTTTTTAGGGAGAGTTCCACAAAGACCAGTTCGCTTAAAATCCTTAGAGTTCGCGTATTCACTTTAACTGCGGTAGCGTCTTATTAAACGGAATTTGAACTGTAAATCAAAATTAGCTTTTTTTAAACCAACACTAAAACATATGACACAATCAACATAACATACTTGGCAGGAGCCTTGTCGGCTTCAATTTCTTCCAAACGAGCATAAATCTAAACAAGGAGAAAGAAAAGGAAATATGATTTTCAGTATTGATAGTTTCAACTGTTCCCATGAGATTCAAAAGATAGAAGACCGGCGGCCATGACGGAGGAATGAACAATAGATACTAATGAGAAATCCTTTGTGGAAGTTCTTCCAAGATGGCYGCTGTGACGTATAGTGAAAACKAAGAATTCTTAGTGTTTAGTCCCACATTGAAAATCGTTATTAATTAAATAGTTTTGACATAAGCGTGCGTGAGTGATGCAACCGATTGCATCACTCTAAGCAAACACCATGAGTATTGTAAAATTAGTGAAAAAAATAAACCCGACACGACCCGAATGGAAACGAATTAAATTTGTGAAATAAAGTAGCGTTTGAACCGAACCTTAGACAGGAGTTACACGAGTTTTTCAAAGTTGTCATACCTGTTGAAGACGACCCGTTGAAGTTTTCTCGCCAGAATTTGATGGAGGACTGTAGAAACGTTACATAGAAAATGCATAAGTTTTAAGGTAGACGGCTAAACTTAGGCCTAATGTCTAGATTGATCGTTTTCACCCATTCCCATGAGATCCAAAAGATAAAAGATCGGCGGCCATGTTGGAGGAATGAACAATAGATACTAACGAGAAATCCTTTGTTAAAGTTCCTCCAAGATGGCCGCTGTGACGTAACATGCAAACCAAGAAWATAATTGTCCGAATCGCCGAATCGCGTTTTACCATTGTCTTAGTTTTATCAATTTTATCAGTTTTATCAATTTCGAATTAACAATGAAAATCGCATTTTGGAGCGATATGGACAATAGGCCTTAGAGTGATATTTACGCTTGTTAAGGCCCGTTCACACTTGCGATTTTTGCAGAGGGATTCTCGTGGCGATCGTCGCGCGACCATCGCCTGAGGTTCGAACATCTTGAGGCGATTTTCGATCGCCGCAACAATCGCCGGGCTTTTTACACACGTACGATTTTAGTTGTGCGATAGCAAGTGGCGATTATCGTGCTGCAAAAATCGCAAGTGAAAGCGGGCCTTTAGAAGCCTGTGATCTATTCCAGYTTCCTCATGCAAATAGGAACAAAACATTTAAGATAGATTAGAAAAAGAAGATATCTAAATAGAAGCCTCTCTGGCACTCTCTTGTCGTCAGAAGTACATAACCAGTTATGTACTTCTGTTGTCGTTAATAAACAAGTTAGAACTTCATCAAAGACAAACACAAAGAAATGACGAAACAGAGGACATCTACTGAATCTTAATCATAAGCAAAACAAAAACCAACCAYAACAAATAAAACCAAATGAGAAATACAACGCTTATGCTTGCGACGCAATAAATCAATGAATAAATTTTATCAATACCTGCCAGTTACAGCGGACCCAGTCAGCTTTTTCTCTTCTTTTAGGAGTTCATATCTTTCTTTGTCGCATTCAAGTACACTTTCAATGGCGGGCGTATTATCACCAATCACCTCTTGCTCCACATGTAGAATCGATAGGTGCGATGGGATAAACAACTCTCTCCTGGTTGAACAAAAAAACAACTTTTTTTAGGAAGTTTTTTAGGACTTTTCTCTGACATTAACATCAGGCAGGATAACAGCACCCAGGATGGTGTTTTAAATACTGAGAAATCTTTTTCGCTTAGATACTTGTGATTATCAAGTGTACCGATAGGATATCAAAGTCCGTCGAGCATCCAGGAAAAAGTGCGCGATTTTCACACGAACGGAAATTTGCCATCTTTAATTTGAACCAACCAGAAGGCACCTTTCAGCAAGAGATCACTTGTAAAACAAACGAAACGATCGCAAAGCCGCGTGGGCCTTTTAATAAATTTCAAATGTTGGGCGACATTTGGCTTCTGGATTGTCGCAGAAATAGCACGGCTCTCTTGTAAAACAGGCATATTTGTTATATAGTTTTAGTTTTTATTGTAATCAATAATTTATGTATATTATAGTTAGTATAGTTCGTATTTTTAATATTTCTAAAGTCCTGAATGAGACTACAGTGGTTAAATAAAGTTATAAGTTAAGTTAAGTTAACTGCAGCTCTCCAAGTCTCAGAGGTCGCTTGGTTAGATCAAGCTTCCGTCTCAACTGGGGGCATGACTTTTTATGACTTGTTTTAATGAACACACTTCAATTAAAAACTATAAAAGAGCGAGAATCTAGCAAAAGCTTGCAATCAACTCATATGAGATATATTATTTACTTACTTAGATAAAGTTCTGAGGAAAGTTGTTTTCCCAACACCATTTCTTCCTACCAGACCATATATTCTACCAGCAGCCATTGATACATCTGCATTCTTTAACAATAACCTGGCAAAATATATAATTGGATTGAGATTAAAGATTAAAATTAAGGGTGTACTGACATATCCGTTTCTAGACGACCTGGTTGCTATGCTAGCCGATGCTAGCCAATCGGAGAAGCGGGCGCGCGCGCGTTTTCATGGCGGGAAAATTTTTACTTCCGGTGGAAAGGTTTTTGTTTACATAAAATGTATGGTATCATTTAAAAAATATAATCTTCGGTGCGAAACATTAAATGGACGTGTTTTTTTCAAGATTTATGTTCTTCACAGCCTCCTCTTCATAACCAAGCATGGGTTTGGCGAAAAATTAAAAAATACGGAAGTCATTGTCATTTTTCGCTTATTTGTGGCATTTACCTCCCCAACTTGGGTGAGGGTGTGCCGCGCGACTCTCAAAACCGTTACCCTATCCCAGACCAATTTTTTTGATTTTACATACCCTACCCCAGACTAAAGGTACAAAGGTACATTATTTTAGYGCTGAAAGCGTGGCCTAGCAGATACGATCACAGAACCTACCTCCAACCTACCTAGACAATGRGACTATACCCTATCCTAGACAAAAAACAACCCTATCGCAGACAAAACTACTACCCTACCCCAGACAAATTGGTAAAAAATGATACTCTATCCCAGACTTGGAGCTYSGAAAAAGGGACCYTATCCTGCGGCACATACCCGTATAGCAAACCAATTTATATTAAAGATAAATCAAGCAGCCAATGGCAGCATAACTCGGACATTGAYACAGAACGATACATGTACGATGAATAAAGTTATAATTACTTTAACAATTAGAATTTTCAGTAAACGATTTATGAAATTTTTTCGTTAAAATCCTATYTAACTTCGGCTGTGTTGATAAGAACGACGAGTGACGGCGAAACAAATTCCAGTATTAGCCATGGTTTTATGAAGTTTGCCATCGTGGCCCAGTGGTTAAAACATAGGCGTACTGATCAAGAGGTCACGGTTCAAATCCCAATAATTATTTTTTTATTATTATTTATTATTTTTTTCCAGCAATTCTTTTAAGAACTGAAAGTTGGTTCAATTGAATCCCCGACCAACTATACGGCACCGTTGCTTTTATTGTTTGCCAGTTTCCGTAGCGGCTCAAAATAGTATTATCGATGTCTAACCACACAATGAACTATATATCAAATATTAAAATGTAATAGTACGGTAGCGAGCGAATATATTTTTTGAATTGTAGACGAACGTGGATAAATAAAACACACATAAAATGATTTTCGAGACGAATTTAATGTCGGATCGGCGAGTCTTCCTCATGCTTCCTTTGTGACTGAACAATACAACGAATCACATTAGATTTACTTTACAAATAGAATTTTAAGTAAACGATATTTGAATGCAGATTTTTTCGGTAAAATCTTATAGTTTTAACTTCGAATTCTAGACAAGCACGGGCGAGCGCCCATCAGTTAAAAGACAAGTCTAGCCGATATTATGTAGCATTGGCACGCGTGGCCTAATCGGTAGTGCCTTTGATTTCCAATCCAGCGGGCCCGGGTTCAGATCCCAGAAGACCCATTTCTTTGATTTCTTTATTTGCCAAAAAATAAATCATTTCAATCAGATATAGCACAGGGAAACCAGTAAAGAAAAATTAGATATGAYAAATAATAATTAAGTAGAATACATTAATATGATTAAATGAATAACTGCTGACAAAGACATTGCAGGCTAAAGTTTACAGGAAAGTGATCGAGCGAGCGAGTGACAGCCTGTGCCCTCCCAATAACTCTACGATTGCTACGCAATCTCCGAGTTAAAAACAGTTGAAAATATGTAATTAGATGAAATCACCAGACCAACCAGATGAAAATACTTACCTTTTAAGTAATGGTCCGAGTAAGAAGCAGGCAAGCAAACGGCAATGGAATGCATGAAGGTGCTAATTTTGTATTGTATAATCCATCCATCTCATTGGTTAAAACATTAAAATTTGACATAATTTCAAAAGTAATCGCATTTTTTTAACATTTTATTTAATATCTGATTCTAACTTTATAAAAGCTTTCCTTAGCTTTGATATT